ACCGGAAAACACTTCTTCCTCTTTCGCTTGTTGCTCTCAGCTTTCTTTTGTCGCGTCAAGCATAGTCTCTGTCCATGAGCTCATTACTGAAGACTGTTTGCTCTCTCTGCTCTTTGCTTTCTCTTATCCGTTTGTAGGTTTCGTTTCTTATTGCTTTTGTCGGTGTTGCTTTGTGATTTTTTTTTCATTGTGTGTGGATCTGTGCATCTCTTTGTGTTGTTTCGTTCGATTGGTTGTCAGGTGTTTTGTTGTTTGTGTGTTTCTTTTTTTTGGCATTATTTTTCTTTTACTTATTTTGTTTGCCTTCCTCTCTAGTTTCTGCCTGTCTGTTCGTTCGTCTTTCTGTCTTATCTGTCTGTTTGTCTGGTCTCTCTCTCTCTCTCTCGCTCTCTCTCTCTCTCTCTCTCTCTCTCTCTCTCTCTCTCTCTCTCTCTCTCTCTCTCTCTCTCTCTCTCTCTCTCTCTCTCTCTCTCTCTCTCTCTTTCTGCCTCCATTCGTCCCCCCAGTTGTTCTGCTTTACTTTTTCCCGTTTTCTCCTTGTCTGCCACTCTCTAGTTGTTTCACCCCACTCTCTTTCACTCTCACTCTCACTATATCTGTCTGTCTGTCTGTCCCTGACTGCCCCCATCCCCATTCTCTCCCTTTCCATCGGTGTCTCTTTCTTTCTACTTACTTTCCCCACTCCCTTCATACACACATATTTTTTTCTCTCTCTCTTACTTTCATTTTCACTCTCATTCTAAGTCTCTCAGCCTGTCTGTGAGTGTACCCTTCCTCTCTTTATCTATCTGTGTGTCTGCGTGACTGTCTCTCTTTCTTTCTGTTTATCTCCCCTACCCCTCTCACAGACATTCTCCCTCTCTTTTACTTTCACTCTCACTCTAACTCTGTCTGCCTGTCAGTCTGTCTGTATGTATGTCTTTGTTTCTGTCTGTCTGTCTTTCAGTCTGCCTATTTCTCTTTCTCTCTCGATTATTCTCACTCTCACTTTGTCTCTCTCTCTTTCTTTTCTCCCCCCATCCCCCTCTCTCTCCCTCTTAATTTCTGTTCTTCTTTCTGTCCCCTGGTCTGTTTCTTTTTCCTCTCTCTCTCTCTCTCTCTCTCTCTCTCTCTCTCTCTTCATCTCTCTCTCTCTCTCTCTCTCTCTCATCTCTTTTCTACTCTACCTTTTTATATTTCTGCCCCTCTCACTCTCTCTCTCTCTCACTCCCTCTCCCTCTCTGTCTTTTTCTTTCTTTGTTATTGTATTAGTGGTAATAGCGCCATAAGCAGAGTATTATAAAAGGCTCAGAACTGCTTGAAATAAAAGAGAATGCTTTTCAATCAATCCCCATTTGGTAAAGAGGGACTTTTAGTGTTCACCGTGTCAAGTTCTACTTAGTTTGCATTTTGCATGCTATCAGAGGACGTTTTTTGACCTCCATTCCCCCCCCATCCATTAAGTGTATTACCAGCGTGATTTCATTTTTTAAGCACATCCCCGAAAGCTTCATTTTTTTGCCCTAAATGAATACAACTCAAAATAAATACGAAAAGCAAACAACGCCCGTGAGCCGCGAGGGAAGGAGAAGACGGACGCCGCGCATTCAGCTCGAGGCTCCAGCGCGAGAAGTGTGAGAAACGAGGAGGCCGCCGAAGAGTTATTCTTGCTAATGTAGCCGACGCTTTGTGCCAACAGGTGGCGTCTTTCCAGCGGGGTCGTCCGTTGGATCAGGCCGACTCAGGCGGCGGTTGGAGGGATCAGGGCAAGTTTTCAAAAGGAATTCGCAAACAGAATGAGCTCCACAGATTACGTCAGAGGCGAGGCGAGGAGTATCGTCTCATTTGGATTGCTTGTATTTGGGTCACGAGGGCTGACGTAGGCGCAGCGAGGGCGGGGCTGCGGTTGCCGGTTACAAGAGGGCTTCGTACTTAATCTCGTTAGTTGTAAAGAGGCGCCTAGATTGTGGTTCAAGTGAAGGGGATGGTCCTTTATCAGCAACGGGAAGTCTTATTTTCTTACTAAATATTTCCTTTTCCGGAATGTCGTTCCATTATCATAGATTATTCACGGTTTGCAGCCCCGTGAATATCACAAATGAAAGAGAAATGTAAATAAACATTCTTGTTTATTTACATCAAGATAAGATAATATTTCCTCATTTCCTTGCTTTCCCGTGTACTCTTCCATCTTTTTTAAACCTGGACACGTATAGCGCCTCCGTAGCGATATCGAAACGAAACAGCGGAATAAAGAAAGGACAAGAGGAAAAGATGAGACGGACTTTAAAAGCTTTTCCATGCAAATCAAGAGAAGGGACAAGCATTTTCCGTGAAATTCGCAGCTGCGTCGCCGGCTGTTTTATGCAGCTAGATTTAACACGGGTGAGTATTTACGAATGGTAATTTATCACTTGTAATTACGGGAGTTGGGATTACGAAACCAATTATTCTGGACACGTTGATTAAATGCCATAATTACATAATCTCTTGTCACATTTTACACGTAGACTCCCGGTGA